AATAAAAATTTTTACATTTAAATAAATCCTAATACCTAATAACTTAATTAAATAAGACAGAATTAAAATTTTATTTTTAAAAAATAATTTATTAATATTTATCTGAGGTACAAATCTTTTTGCACCAATCCATAACTATTATTAAAAATCTTTTTATAAATTGAATATTATATTTTATACTTAGTTTTCATTATTAGATCTTGAGATATTAAACCTTAAAGAGGCATCTTAAAATCCAGTGATGAAAATCAAATACAAAGTTTACCATTCAATTTAGCAGAACCTAAAGAATTGAATAATGTGCCTTGTGCAAGATTTCTGAAACTGGAACCCGAGATATTGAATCCCAAAGAGCACATTCACTAAAAAATTCCACACATAACCTCTTTGGAACTTAATATTTCAAGAGCTAATGGTGAAAATTAGTATAAATATATATCATTCAATTCCCTTGATTTTGCTGAACTGAATCATGGGCTTTGATTCAATTCCTATTGCTGGGTCTTGAAATATTGGGCCATATGTGAAATAATTCATGTTGTAAATAGCAATGCACCATGATCGTAAACATCCGATAGTTTTTTATCACATGAAATAATCCACGATGGAAACAGGGACCCGGAAAAATCCTGTTGTGATTTTGAAGAATTTTATTAATCATTATTATAATACATAATTGTAAGTGCACGAAGAGATTCTTTGTTTATCATCATCCAAAATTTTGTTATAAGCACTAAAACTACTTTCTACACTACATGATGAAATTGGTAACTAAATAGTAGTTGATATGAAATTTTGTCCAAAAATCAATTCAATTTCATTTAAATTAAATTGTCCATTCTGTAAAAGTCATAGATAAATTATTTTTAAGTGTCGAACGTAGCGTTTGTTATATTATTTATTTGTACAAGATCATGATTTTTTATGACTTGTTTTATAATTGAATGAAAATTTCTTGTGCACGACTATTTGCAGTTATTTGTTTTTGCTTAGAAGGCATTTTTCATAAGAATAACGATAAAAAGATCGTAATTTAGTTCATAAAATGTGCAACGATTTTTTACTTTGCAGTATAGTATATATCTATAAAAATTCCCATTTTATTCCGTTTTATTTCAAAATTCAGTTTTATACTGAATTCTATATATATGAATTTTTCCGTGTCCCTCGGTGAGAATGGGAACCATCCATTAGCCCGACATCCAAAATCTCGACGTCCAATAGCCTGACAAACAAAATCCCGACATCCAATAGCCCGACGATTCATAATCCCGACAATTCAACATCCCGACAGTTCATAATCCCGAAAATTCAACATCTCGAGCGCATCTTATTAATGATTTATAAGGTCAGGATAAGGGTAACGGTTAGTGCAGATGATAAGATTATATGTAAAATTACCATCCGACATTTTTTAATTAGCATTCCAAGATAGATTTTATTGGGCACGGATCACGTAATAGGCACTTCGGGATGTTGTATTAGAGTATTTTGTTTGTCGGGCTATTGTAACCGAGGTGGAAATAGGGGGCACCGTAAAACTATTGGATTAACTTTAATACCATATACTCGCGAAATAACACGCTATACGGTAAAAAATAAATAAAAAATTGATTTAATATTTTTAAAATATAAAGTATCAATTTATATATCATTCTCTTTTTTCTTCTAAAGTGCCAAGATTAAAGTTGCAAAATCAAACAGCATATTATTCTTTTTATCTTCGATGATTGAAAAAGAAAATACGCACCAACAGATATAACAAAACCGTAACTGACCGGTTATAGTTTGTGCTTCTCTCAAAAGCTGAGACACGCATGAACTATATTTTGAATGGATTTCCAGAATCTGATATTTGATGAAGACTTTCAGATGCATTCACGGTTTGGGGTAGCATTTTCGACCAAGCACTGGAATTGTAGAATAATTTTATTAATTAAGCCACCTGTTCAAAATAATAGCACTTTTTCCATCTTGACGTATTTCTATTTTGAGAATTTTACTATTCTTACACTTTGAAAACGTTTCTTCTAGCAATAAAATATTTTTAGATTTTCCATTTCTTGCGTGGAATGAACAAATTAGTAAAATGGAGTTTATTTTTATTTTGGTTCACTAGCCTGACTTTTGTATAAAATTACAAATTTATCTTTTGATATTTCCATATTTCGTTATGGTTTCGCATATGCTGAACGAAATATTAAAGAAATTTTTGCTGATGATTGCATGCTTAAAACATACAACGCAAGTAATTATCATATTGATACGAATTAAAGAAACATGAGCTCTTTTTTTAGAAAATATCTCATAGAAAAAATCATTATTCGCTTGCTATGCATGCAACCCTATAAGAAAATGCACTGTCAATTTCGTTAACAACTGATATGTCTAAAGATATTACGTAAAAGAACATTTTTACATGTTTATTACAGACATATAAGCACGTATGTCAAGTTTAAACGCCTGTTTGTCCTAAAAAGTGTTCCTTCCTCGTGTATTTCCATATTTTCTTATGTGCAAATCCTTTAAAGGGTACTATGAAATTACAGTTCTGTTTTATTGAAAACTTTCATTGTAAAGGCAAATAGAAAATTAAAAATTTTCCCGTGTTCGAGTCTTTTTCGGTTGTTTGAGTTGTTCAAAAAGAGAAAAATGGTGATTTTCAAAGTATGTCCTATTTATGATATGAGTAAATTTGCAAAATATAATGCGCATTTAATTCTAGCAATTAGATCAGCTCCGGCAAATTAAGCCATAAAAATCGGATGATCAGATCGGTCACAATGCGATGAAATTCTTGAGTATGAATTTAGTCAATTTCGACACCATTTACAAATTTATTATTACTTCAATAATTCATTCAGCTCCTTAATAAGTAAAATAAAAAGTATATGGAATCATAAGATCTGAAAAAAAAATACAGCATTAACTTAAAAAGAGACAACGAACCAATGAACACTAAAATTGAAAACAGCACATAACGATACATTTACATGCATTTGCTTATGTAATATACAAGTTTCCGTGAAATGCAAATTATTGTTCTTTTATGGAAATTCTAACATGAAAAAGGACAATAAAAAACTGTTTTTTCCATAATATATTAATTTAATAATCCTTCTTGTACTTTTACATCATATCTATAGCTGAAACACAGAGAAACCTCTTCATTGCGCCCTATAAGTGTCAGCTGAACACACTCCCTGGTCTGTTCCGAGCTCTAATTGTACGTGTATATTCTCTCTACATTAATCTATAACGGATTGAGATCTAGAACAGTCTGTAATAAATCGCCGATTCATTAATAGATTTTCAATATAATGGATATAACGATAACGAGTTTTTCATTAAGAACCAACCCGTCTGTTATATTGACGGCTACGGTGTACTCCAATTGAAGTTATTATCGTTATATTAAATAAAGCTATTTATTTATAAACACAAATGATAATTACATAAAGATATTAAAAAACTTATTTGCATGTAACTACGTATATTGAAAGCCTCCACTAAAAGCCTCAATTTTGTCATTTCTTTTAATGATTTGTCTTAAAAATAATAACGACAATGGGTATTTCGAAAGTTAGTGTAACTATGCCTTATAAAAAAGGCAGACACGTAAAATTCGTATACATAGACCCCTTTTTTCACACGGAAAGACGTATTTGTCAAATTCCGTGTGAAAAGTGTCTGAAATGGGAATTTGTCACCCGCCGAGTCGTCCCGTACCATTCCTGTGGATTTTACGTGCTTGCCTTTTTTTTAGGGATCATTAGAACAGCTGATTATTTCAACAAGCATAAATCTATACTTGTTAACTTTAAGGTTACTTTGGTTGCTTGAACTATGAATGGGAAAAATAATTTTATTTTCTATGTAAAATTCATAAGCTTCATCCACAAAGCACTATCAACAACAAGGTAACTTGAACTTTGGCACTTTCTTTTTTTAGGATTGGATGTTCATTGCAAGCATTATATATCTTATCCCCAATTTTTCTATTTAATAAATGAGCAATTTTTATCGAAACAACATCAATGAATGTTTCTTCAATGAAATGAAGATATAATTGAAGAGAGTAATTTAAATATATAAACAGCAAATTATAAGACCAATATAATAATGATTTAAAAGGACGGCACATTACTTAAAAATATCATGAATATCATTCAAAAGTAAAAGACTGATAATATAAAAGTGAAATTGATCATTTATTCTGCCTAAGATCTCGTCCTGGTCCTTAGAATTATATATCCCAAAGTCATCTAATGTCTTTTGGAAATATCGAGTACCGACCTCAAGTTCTGCGGACTTTAAAACTTATAAGCACCGACTCTTCAAATAAAAAACAATTGTACAAGAAAATTTTGAAAATGATAATTTTGAAGTTTTTTGGACTCTTCGATTTTGCCCTTTACTATAAAATAGCATATCGCAAGACTGTATCGCGTTTCAAACTCTCTCGATCACAAATATCTGTTATTGTCTTAATTGAGCTAGAGCATGTTTCGATTCTGATTTTCAAATCCCTTTGCCATAATGATATGATATACCAAAGATTGCGCACGTCGAAATTCTGCTACTTTCAGAATTCAATTAAGTTCTGTGTGATTGTTTCTTCCAAAATTAGATTAGAATTCCGGGAAGTGAGTACGTTAACTTGCCTATTCGAAATACGATGTCACCGTATGAATAAATCAGAACACCAGGTCCGCAACTCACTTACGTGGTAACATACTTGGATTATGTGATAGCGAAGAACCAATCAAAAATGATCAGAGGCAAAAAAACAATATCTCGGATCACTGTTTTTTGCTTGACGCACACAAAAAGACAGATCGACCGAAAATCATTATCGTCAAAACATTCACAATTAAAGGTTTTCACTAGCATTAGGGAACTTCTTGCTTTTGAATAGAAACATAACATGATCAAGTAACGATATTAATTGATCGAACCAATTAACTCGGTTTAAATCAACATTGATAATAATCAATGACCAAATATGTCAGACAAGAGACATAAACATACATTTCGAGATCCATATACATGTATATGCGAGATGTAACTAATCTTTGAAAAGATTCATTAGCTATGCTTAAAAACTTTCTCTACGAAAAAGAATGGTAACCTGGCACAATTTTTTCCGGTTTTTCTTCAGTTCTGATAACGATCCGGAACATCCTTTAGATGAAATTTATGTAGTTACACTTGCAGTGTTACCACTAAAAATGCTCGCTTGGAAGAGTATCTTTAGCACTCCAAGCGCATTATTTTAAAAATCCAGTCTAGATAGCAATCAAGGATCAAAAGCTAAATCAATAATTATTAACTTGTCTAGTAAAGTTCGATAAATGTGCAAATGAAAATTTGATTCATATTTTTTAATCCCTTAAAATCTTATACATGATTGCTTAATTTGTAAAATTCAGTGCAAATGAAAACTTTGATTCATATTTTAACCTTAAAATCTTATACATAATTGTTTAATTTGTAAAATTCGAATTTTATTATATTACAATTTATCAATTTAAAAATAATTCGTAAAAAGCCGAAAATTTTGCAAGCAAAAATAAATAACATTCCTTAGAATGTACTAGAAAAAATTATATTACAATTTCCTAATCAAAGAAAATATATAGAAATTATCTACAGTACTATTATTAAAATGATAATAATAATTTTCATATTGTCTTATCGTTGCATAACCATAAAAATATATACTTATTACTTTCCTATCTCCCTGTCCCCACCATCGGTTCCGTTAATAGCTTGTTCCTCATCGAACTCATCGTCAAAGTCACTCTCAATAATTTCATCAACGTCAACCATTTGGCCCATCAACATCGCCAGGACACGTTTCGACGGCGGCACCCCATAAACCATCAGCACACCCGTGCGCAATAGGAAATCGATGGCGTTACAAGTCGGGAGGTAGGGTAATCGGTCCTTATCCAGCCCGAATATTATGGAATAGAAAGTAGCGAAGAGAAGTGCTAGCACCCCGATTGTACTCATGTACCAGATTCCGACTGCTGCATTTTGGGGATTTAGGTAACGGGATGTTGTGGTGGAGGAGTTGCTTATGTTGCTGTTACTTCTATTCCTCGAATTTATGATTGTATTGGCTCTATTATTACTATGTCTATTATTACTATTATTACTATACCTATTGTTGTTATGTCTATTTGCTGTAATAATGCTACTATGTCGCCCAGTCTCGGTTTGATAATAATGAAGAGGACGTGGCGACAAAGGCGGCGACTGCGTAGTTTTATTCATAATGATAGTGACGATATTGGTGGTATTATTGCTAGCATTAACGCGATGTAAGCTTCTCAGAACCGGCGTAAATGCGTAAAAAAATCCCATCATGCTAACCAACATGCCCAACAATACTTGTATTATATATGCGCGAAAGTTCGGCCGTGCTCTCGTTCCCTCGTCGGAGTTCAACAGCAATGTAGTGAACAAAGAGTGGATAATAATCATGGCCACTACAGATAGGAATGTGAATTTAAAGAGAAAGTTGCGACGTTTGGATTTCTCGTAAAAACGTTGACCGGTCATTAGAAGGAACGTAGCGATTAGACTTGTGTACAGTCCGGATAAAATTTCGAAACTTAGCCAGTAGTATCTCTCGAAAGTTGGTATGGATTCGGATGTGGACTCGGACGGAGATTGGGATGAGGGTAAAGGGGATTCGATCAATATACGGGTTAGATTTAGTATGGAAAGGGTAATTACTGTCACACCTGCTAGAAAACTGTTAAATTCCTGGCTTAGTTAGCACGGATTAATTGAATTTCAAATTGGATTATTTATAATAAAAAGCTACTAACCAAGCAAGTCGTAAATATGTGCATTTCTTAATAGTGAAATAAAGCAAAATAATTAAGCCGACAAAACTAGTTGTCACGTTTACAACACACGTCACAACGTCTAAATTTAATATATACATATTTTCCCGGTGTCTAGATAATGGTAATTATATGACGCGGAGTTGAAAAAGCATGAATTTAATTATAAATTATCTAATCCGTTGTTGCTTTCGCTTTGTCTTTCGTTTCTCCTCAACAAAAGAAAGAAACCTGGGTGGCAAAAAAGATATTCCTGTGATTAAATACTTTTTTCAATTTATGCGGTGTTTGTTTATTTTCGCGCGTTTTTTGGAACGCTTTATTTGGTCATCACTTTATTATTGTTGCTTTCTAATCTTTGTCGTCGCTGCTGTTTCTCATTAAAAAAATCCTGCAAGCATTATCGTATCCAAATTAATGATTATCATCTATTTTCTTGCAACATTACGTAACGTACTGCATATGCTAAGGACGGTCATTCATCTGGTTGGTTTCGTTGTTGTTTGGTTATATACACAATAAGTACAAGTGAGGATTTGAAGAAATTATAAAAAGTTTTGTGTGCCATGTGTTTTGCATATTGCATCATCTTGCACACGAATAAATGGTAATGATAATAAATCAACTGTTCTTTATCTTCTTTTATCAAAATTAAAAAAATAGATTCATGAAAAAAAAGAAATTACTTGAAAATAGAAAACAACAATAATAAATTGCAACAACAGCAACAAGAAAATCGGTTTCTCGAAACACCGCAGAAACTTAAAAACGGATAGAACATTGATTCGAACAAAAATGGGTGTACTCGTTTAAGAATTCGAATGTCTTGTTACTTTGTTTTTGGAGCACAAAAATACGCGTAAATAAAACGATTGACGAGACTAAAATTTTACGTATTATATTAGTAGATAAATTAAAGAAGGCGAGAACGAAATAAGAAACATATATGAGAAGAAAGAATAGGAAAAATATGTGTTTAAGGTAATAAAAAAATGTGGTATATGCATAAGGGAATGTAGGTGTAATACATACATGTTTTTTTGTGAAGCAGGACACTCTATCTTGCTTAATTCGTTTGTTTGTCTTTCCTCGCGCGAACGCACGTTTTTTTTGTGATATATACATTCGTGAAGACGACCCTCTTGAATATATTAATCATTAGAAAACGTGTGGCTCAAAAATAAGATCACAGGTTAACAAAGGGTGCATTAATGATCTTTTTTGATGAACCTTTAGAGAAACTACGGATTTTCTGGTGGTTCCTAATTATTAATTAGGCATATGAACCTCAATTACCACTAGAAAATTCGTAATTTCTCTAAAAAAAATCATTAATATATCACCTGCGTATGGAGTCGTAAATATTTCATTTAATTGTTTTGGTTTAATATATCGAAAGGGCGTATATGTTTTTCCTATGATTTAATATGCATGAATTAGGTATATAAGACTGTAAATTAAAGGAAATAAAACGCCTTTATTAAACCATCCGATTTGTCAAACCTTCTATATGTAGGTAGAATTATCGATTAATAAGTATGCAGACACATATGTATATGAGATAAATTCTGTATGTGATAAAACTTCTATAGATGATTTCCGCTCACCTTGCTTTGCATTACTGCTCGCTTATTATCTCTGATCGAAATAATTACATACAACACTTTTGCTAATATATTCTAGCATATTTTTCTATCAGTTATAATATTATTCGGCTTATTTTTCCGATACATATAATATTATCTCTTAATTGGAAACAGAGTTTAGATGAGAAAGTAACGGTAATGCTTTGCGAAGAAAAAGCTTCTTTTTTTATTATCTGCCAAATTAAGCAGCTCTTTCTATTGTTTGTAATTATATACAGGTAAATAACGATTGTGTGCACTCACTCACTCACATGCAGATACATGTATACAGTAACGAGGCAAAATAATGCAAGAAACCATGAGTTATCGTTATCAAATTTCGGGGGTTAATATCGATATCGCTATCGTTATCACTTTGATTGAGATCGCTTACATGCATGTACTATACATACATTACGTCTATTAGCATACAGATCATTCAATCAATCGTTTCAGGACCAAATTTGGAATGATGAATTCGACTATAGCTAAATTAAATTGGATAATGGCTATCAGTTATAGAACTATTGCTATTACTATCGTAAAAATACAAAGAATCATTTAATTAATAAGGATAAACATTAATGATAGAAAACGGAATGGAATATCAATATGGTTTTTTTCATGAGAATTTCCACAAAAAGAAGAATGATTTGCATCTCACGAAACATTAGAATATTCGTTAAACAAATGTATGTAAAGTTTTGTACATACAGTATTATGTATTATTATGTGCTGTTCTTCAATTTCGGCTATTGGATAATCGTTACATTTTTTACATTATTAATTTACCCGTTTGTTTTTTTAGCATTCATTGGTTCGTTGTCTTTTTTTATGTTATGTTAATACTGTATTGTTTCTTTTTAGATATTATAGACTTTATTCTACTTATTAAGGAACTGAATGAATTATTGATTAATTGAATTAATAATGATTCTATGAATCTATGAAAGACTATGTGTGCGTATTGAAATTGAATAACAAATAAATTCCTACCCGAGAAGTTTTATCGCATTGTGACCGACCCTCATTTAATCAGATTTTTATGGTTTAATTTGCCGGACCTAAGTGATCAATCGGTTTGAGTTTATTGGATGATCGAGATGATTTTAACCTATACGTATATGTATACGTATGTGTTGTATTCTAATACACGTATATAAAGTTTTTTTTATAAATACCAATCGACAGCAAGTTTCTGTATTAAAATAAATTTTTTAAAAAATAAAAATCTATACAATCACCACACATTTGCACTTTTACATAAGCACATTAAAACATGATTTAAGAGCTGGCGTTGTCCTAATTGTTAACGTTTAAATCTATTATTAGTGATAAATGCAAGCATTAACTTTGCAAATATACCATATCATAAAATAAGGCAAAATTTGAAAGCAGCTAAAAAAACTCGAACACGGAGAGAAACATTAATGTTCTATTTGCTTCTACAATGAAAGTTTTCAATAAAATAGAACTGCAATTTCATAGTACGTCAATTTCTCCTTAGAGATTTGCGATAGGAAATACACGAAGAAAGAACACTTTAGGAAAAATAGGCTTTTATCTGTAATACACACGTGAGAGTCCTTTTACATAATATTTTACAGAAATATCGAAAGTATATTTCCATATTATTTCAGATGTCGAAATAGACAGGCGCATTTTCTTATAGAGTTGCATGCATAGTGAGTGAACGATGCTTCTTTCTATGAGATATTCTTAAAAAAAAAGAGGGCGTGTCTCTTTAATTCGTATCACATATTGTGTGAATTCCATATGGATGTTCTTAATATACCGATACGATCATCAGCAAAAATTTATTTTTTAAAGTTTATATGCATCTGAGTTCTATTGAAAATTTCTATTTTTTGCTATCTCTATTAAATATGTTGATTTCATTGAAAATTTCCATTTTTTGCTATCCCTTCTAAATATGTTGATTTTCATACCGATGCATACAAATTGAAAATTTAAAAGTTCCGAACAATTCTAATTTCGATAGAGATTATCCATTTGACATGATAATTTTATCGCGGACCAAAGATAATGAGGTCCTCCGTTAATTTTTATAAAAACGAGAAGAGTGAATTTTATTCATCACTCATCCTTTTCTTAAGAGTTCAAGCCTAAAAAACAAAAATAGAATTTAAATTCCATATTACTTATTTCTCCATTTCGTGCAAGAAATGGAAAATCCTAACGAGCATAGTGGGTATACATGTATTAGGTGTTCGTCATGATATCGATAATCATATAAACACATGTTAAAATTTTTCTTTATTACTAGACACAGACAAAAAGGTCATCAAAATAGAAACAAGTCAAGTTGGGAAAAGTGTTGTTTCCCTGAAAAAAAGCATAGGTAGTTTAGTTATTAATACTTTGTAAAAGATTTTGAATTATTTATTTATTAGTTTTTTGGGATTTTAGATAAAAAGGTATTCATCGGATATCACACAATAGAAACAAAAACGCAAGCCGCGAATTTATCGAACAATTCTAGTGAAGTCAGTCCAATAACCGAGTCAGTTGAAGAAGTAATTCATGCTAGTGAAGTCAGTCCAGTAACCGACCTCGGTTTTTTCGAAAGAAGCCCAGACCTTAAGTGGTCGGTTGCGGTCTTCGATGCTGAAAATATCTGTTGGATCGCATTTTCTTTATACTCTTTTAATTTCGAAGATAAAAAGAACGAAAATCCATATGCCAATGCGTCGTTGCGACCAAAATATTGGTTGAAGGGGATTGCTGAAAAAGATGATGTATCTGAAAAGGATGGGTTTTTCTTTAATTATACATGTAATCGCACGAAAAAGATTACTACCATTACCGTCCAAAAAAAGGATGTAGTTTTGCTTAATTATAATAGCACGGAAAAGACTGTTCGAGCAAGCCGTGTCGCAGGAGTCGGAAACGGCATTATCAAATTTCTAAATCACGAAGATTTTATCATCCTAAGGCGAAACAATTTTCGGATAATGCGATATAATAACAAATGTGAGTCAATAAGCATGAGAATCACCAATCTTTTCTGGTCAACAAAAGCTTTTTTAAAACTTGGCCACAGTAGAAGGAAAAAAAGAATAGATACTGATCATGCTTATCCAATTCCAATGAACAAGTTTGCAACCAAATTAATATACAACGAGTCCAAAGTGGAACACGAATTGAACAATTCTGTAAAAGATAATTATTTATACTCTATTAGTCGACGCAAGAAAAAGAAAGGCGAATTTGGTAAAATTGAACGTTATGATCTTTCAACAGGTGAACTTGATAAGCTATTCGATATCAATAAAGTTCTAACGAAATCCGACAATAAAGATTTCGAGATTCAAAAAAATTACAAAGACCAAACCAAAAAGAAAAATATTTTATCACTATTCGCAGTGTCTACTAATAAACAATATTTAGCAGCATCAATTGGCCTCAATTCTTTTACTATCTACTTTATGCCCAACTCTATCGAATTAGTAACACGTAGCTTACCTTACATTAATGCAAAAATCAAGTCTATTGCATTTATCGCGAATAATACAAAGCTCTTCATTGTCTTTGAGAGACAAGAATCAGTATCAAATGAAGAAACACAAAAAGATCAAGGCATTTCAAAAGAAATTTGGATTTGGAACATGCCAGGAACTTTAGACTTTGAAGAGTATTTGGAAACTAAAAATTTAGAAAAAATTGTAGAACATCATGACATGAAATTAACATCTGTAAAAAAACTATTTGATAAGCAACCAGAGAAAAATGATAAATTCGATTTAAAAAGCTATTCCAAGTTAGAGTATAAAAGCGATGATAAGAAAATAGACAAGCTTGAATTTTTCGTAAAGGAAAATTCCATCTTCTATACAAACTCTGATTCGATCAAACTTTTTTATCAGAACCCTGATGAAAACCACGAAGAAAGAAAAGAAGAGGCGAGCGATGGAAGAAAATTTGAAAACGCAAATGCTATCATAATCAACAGCGATGGAGGGAAATTTGAAAACGCAGATGCTATCATAATTGACAGCGATGGAAAGGAGATAATCCATAAAGCCAGCAAAGAGAAAATTGAAGAAAGCGCATATACCATCTCTATCCCAACCGACAGCGATGTAATAGAAATTATCCATGAAGACAGCGAAGAGGGAAAGGAAATTGACAAAAATGCATATAATAACCAACGCGAAACAATAATAATGGGGATATCGACGAAAGAAAATAAATTGTCTCCTGTTAATATTTGGTCAATTCCAACAGCTTTGTCTAAATATCTTATCCGTCCAATTATATCCGATTGTAAATTTGACGAGGAAAATCAATCGGTAAAAGTGACATTAAAATCGCGTGAGGACGGAAACAAGTGTGAATTTAAACATGCCATCGCATTTCAACCACATGCTACATCTATAGTAGGAATGTGCAGTTCATTAAATTTAGCGATAAAATTAAAAGAAAATCATATAAAGAATCAAGAGGCGACAGATGATGAAGAAGGATTAATCAAAGTTATAAAAAAAGTAGCGTCCGATATCCTCAAAGAAGCAATCAAAGATCTCGATCAATTTAGAATATTGGACGCTCGTTTTCGTATCGTGGCAACGATGATTAAAGCGGGTATTCAAAAAGAGGTTATTGAACATATTTTAGAGAAACCTGATAATCGTTTACATATTCCTCATCAAAGTGTAAATGAACAAGACAAAACAAAACTGTCATTCAACTCAGTTTTCTCTTTGCCAAAATCTCCAGTTGATCACAAACAACCTAATGCTAGTGCTTTATTAGTTGCAATAAATACAAATCAACACAACACCGTAGAGAAACTTCTCGATTATTATTCTACTTTAGCTAAAGATAATTCGAATTGGATGGAAACTGTCGTTCAAGTTATGCCAGAATTGATTACAAAATTTCCAAGTGAGTATAATTACCTTTTCCTATATACCGCATAATTAGTAGTTAAAAGCTCATATTTTTCTCTTAGAAAACGCCGTCAAATTAATGAACAAAGAAGTTTTTCATTCAAAAGAAATTCCTCTTGATAAATCATGGAAGTTTTATCGACCAAGGAATGATCTAGACAAGGTTCATTCTTTCCATGTCGATTTTAACCTTTTTGATACTTATCGTCAACAAGAATACAAGAAAGAGCAAGTTGACAAAAAGGATAATATAGCTAACTATCGAAAAACGAATATGCGATATTTCCAAGTTCCTCTTCCAGGAATAATGAAAGTTGGCTCGGCCTCTACGAAAAGATTATTATGGGATGCAGTAGTTAATAATATTTGGGATTTTTTCTTGAATTTGGTCTTATTAGAGCGAAATTCTGGCGAAGAAAGTCCATTCACTGGACTCATATTTTATGATAAAACCGGCGAAATTTACGACAACCCATCAATAGAAGCAATTATTGACTTTCAATGGCGTCATTATACCAGAGTTTCTATTACTTTTGGATTCTTTTTATATATTGCGTATGCAATTATATTCATTTGGCTAAGCTATGCGCATTTGAATATGATTGTGTATAGTCAACCCGTTGGGCCCCTATTTATACCTACGGCTGCTATAATGTGTGGATTTGCTTATATACTACTAGCTCGAAAAATAAAAGGAGGACGCTATTTAGTTAATCAACAGAAATTGCCAATAATTTTATATACCTTCGATCTTCTTGGTTCGACTTTGCCACTATTTGGCTGTGCAATGATGATATGGATCAAATCGCGTTATACTGACTTACTACCAGAATCTAATACCAAAAAAGAATCTCTTTATTGTCAAAGACACGACTGTCGAAGTCAATTAATTTTCTATTCATTATCTTCTTTATTAATTTGGATTGTATTCGTAAGTAATTTAACTACTTATTCGCTATTCTCAAATGAAATGATGATTTAATTACATAAATTTTTTTTTAGTTTTTCCAAATGCGATTTTTACCACGCAAGTATTGATTTTATTTATTTATGATTTATCTTTGAAATTATATTCTAATGGCTGATATTATTAGTGGTCGGAAAATATATTTTCATTATTATCAATGTTATTATAAATATATTTGGATTTCTCCTTTCTCAGATGTTTATTGTTGGAGGATTCGCAACCACTATGTAAGTTTCATATTAAACTTTTTCGTCTATTTGTAAAAGTTCAAAAATATAAATACCATGCATTTTACTTTCTTCTTAGGTGGTTACTTTTACGATTTGCTCCAGGGATCGGTATTTTACCCGGCGCCCCCACATTTAACGGCTCCTTGATAACAGAGAATTCTAACAATAGAACTAATCTCACTATGACACAAAGCTTGAATTGGGCTGATCGATCAGACAATTACTATTTTTTTTGGGAGAAATCAATAGAAGCCGTATTCTTTTGGATAAGTGGTCGTTGGGATCAGGTTACAAATTGGAATTTTTGGCCGGTTGATTTGGTCACTGTTTTTGCTAGTATCTTTTTGGTTACTCTTCTGCAGAATTTATTGATTGGCTTGATGGGGTAACTTATTTTTATTATACTAATTGTCGAATAACAAAAATTTACTCAAGTTAATCAACGTACAATTATTTATTTAGCAATGCGCTTGGTGAATCTACTTTAGAAAAACGAGCGTTGCTTCAAATGCGCGCTCAGCTATTGATGGATTATACAGATGCATTTGCGCAACATAGAGACGTTTATTACGCGATTCCAACCAAAGAATGGAAAGCTTTACGAAAAAAGATAAAAGAAAACGAGGAGGACCAATCAGATGAAGATAAACTTGATCAGTTATTAAAGAAAATAGCTCGAATAGAAGAAAAAAATGCTGAACAAAACTCTTAACTTTAACAATTTGTTTAGATTGCTCATAAATGACTTCAGTGATTTTATTTAACTTTTTAATCTAGGGCACACAATCTTAAGACAAGCATGAAAACTGCTTGTTTAAAACATACAAATATCATACAATTAAAACTTACTTCGAGATAAATAATAAATTGATATTCAAAAGTGTGCTGCGATATTATTCAAATCGCTTTTTCTTAAACTTCTTTTATAAGCCGGATTATTGATTATTATTTAAAGCGCAAGCTGTCTGGAATTTGACGCATACGTGAGCGAATTTTTAGATTCCTTAAAAGAAAACCAATAATATGGCATCTAATTATCCCAAGTCTTCTTTGTCAGGCTTCAAAATTAACTTGATCGAAAAATCATACGTAAACCACCGCATAAACCCCCCCCCCCCCCCCATTACAAAAGACTCATAATTACCACTAAAGCTCACGTTCGGTTCGGATCAATCCATGATCCGAACCGAATCTGACACTTCGTTCCCGATTCGGATTGCTATTTTCAATCAGAAAAAAATGGTTCGTTTCGGTTCGTTCCAGGTTTGCATCAGATTCGAAACGGTATGATCCGGCCGGTTCGATGATTTTGATTAATAGACCGTCAGTGTGAAGTTTGAATCGACATATCATAGGGGTCATAAGCAACTGCACACCCAATAAACTACAAATACTGATCACCTATATCTTTAATAGGATGATAAACTTCTAGGATATTCATCAAATATCTATGTCGCAAATACAATGAATCACCACTTTATGATGCAATATCTTTGATATTCAATGATCCAATTCAAGTGAATAATATACTGCCATCTGGATTGTCTTATTAAAATGATCAAATGGTAATATATTCATTCAAATTGGATTACTGAATGCCATCCTAACATTTCTGTTAATCATTAGGAAATTGATCATCAAAAAATGAATTGGCCAGGATGTAATATCTTTGATCTGTAGTGATCTAATTCAAATAAAAATATCACAATATGATTTGTCTTGAATAGATGAATAAAAATAGTAATATTTTTACTAATATCAGATTAAGATATTACATTATAAAGTGAACAATTCATTTTTATTGATATCAAAAAAATTATTCAATCATCTTAAAATGCAATATCTCAATCTTCAGTAATTAATTTGAACAAAAATATTATCATTTAATTCATCTCAACTATAATATTTTTTTCAAAATTAATTACTGAATATCAAGAATCAAATTACTAAATATCAAGATTTATATTATAAAATAATTAATTATATTTTAAAGAGTTTTGATAAATATTCAATATTTAATATAGTAATTTACTAATTTATAAAATATAAATAATTAATATTTATTTATGATGCACCAACCTTAGTCACATCAAATACTTTGAATTGCAAAGACTTTATATCCAAACATTTAATTATGAAAAAAAATATATTATTAAATAGTCTTTAATAAGCTTTATAATCCAATGTATTTTTTTTTAAACTTTAATAATAATTTAGTAAGCAGTTAGAGTTTTTTAAAAGCCATTTTTATAGTAAAAACCAGAATTTTAGCAATCAAAATAATCACGTGAGTGATCATTTATTGGTTTATTTTATAATACATAAATAGTAACTCAATTTATTTTTAGTGCATGATCAATCAAAGCATAATGAATAAGAAGAATAATAAAATTAGTAATCTAAAGCTCTATAATAAGAGCTTAAAAACTCCTCTTGAGTTTGTCTAACTTTTACTTAATACATAATGTGACTCTTTAATTCATTATAAATGATCAAACTCCTTTAATATACTTGCTAGAATCTGATAATAGAATTAATATTTTCTTATTACAAAGATTACAGCCTTGCCAGAAAGATCATGATCATACACACTCATATATCAAGCAAATTAATATGCAAAATAGAGAATTTTGGTTAGAGTAACAGACTCTAATGCACATGAAATGATATTTTTAAGATCTCAAAAGATATAATCACAATATAATCATGAGTATCACTTTGCTTCTTTCCAGAATAACTCAATAAAATTGAGTTCATAGTGAAACTTTGGATAAAATATATATATATGACCAGCTACTTTAATAATCTCCTGTAAGTGATTTTTCTATAATGTAAAATTAGGCTGATAACTAAAAATCTATATTATATAATATTTTAGATTTGCTAGATTAGAGATATGTGATTTGCATGTATCATATTATCTCTTCAAACCTTGCACCTATAATTTACATTCTTGAAGAATTCATCAAATATTCTTCAGTTTTGTTATATCATCAACATTCATGAATATTAAAATATAAGGAGAACTGTTAGACATCTGGCCATCATGAAGAAATGATTACTTATCTCTATCCTTTAAGTTTATATGTGAAACTATCAGAACATCATCAGCAAAAGTAATGTGATTACAACTATTATCAAATATGAAAAGTATGATCTTGCCAGGATATATTTGTTCAAAAATCAGAATGACTCTTTTGGTTACTTATTTTATGACATCATAATTTGTTTATCAATTATTTTAATTTGAGCTCAGATAAATAATAATATAGATATCAATATGTATAAGATACTTGTAGTTAGAAAGCAAGTTATTTGCTGCTT